ATCGGTCCTTCGCAAGGACGATGCAATGAGAGGTGTCTCCTTGCTATCTTAGGTGGTGGGAGAGATGGCGCAGGGGGGGGCAAGGCAATGGGGATTACCGACGGTGATATGAATTCGTCTTGACGCACTCGCCTCGGGTTTATAAGGCTCAAGACTTGCGGCTTCCAAACAGCACGACCCGCCTTCGGAGGGGGGCTGAGACAACGGGCAAGAAAATTGAATTATTGCCGCAATCGCTTGCTCTAACAACACAAGGCATACCACGATTGGTTTCAGCCCAGGGTGCGTGCCTGTGCCAAGACCACATGCCTCCCAAACACATTGTCTGGTACAGACTCCAGGGACCCTATTGTGTGTGGGTCCAGCATATTAGTCTCGATTGTGATGAATCTCGGTTCGTAATTAAGCGTCCGCCCAACGCTTGCTGCACGTGCCATCACAATGAAGGGTGCAACTTGCGTGCTTTACTCGATCCATTTGAGAGCTGTGTGCCAAGCTTGGCAGACTTCAGGGAGATCTTCTTCGTTGAGTCCTACCGTTGACGCGCCATACCCCGTCAAGTCTTTCGGTCCCGGCCAACCTACTGACGTAATAGGTCTAAACCCTGGCCCTCGAGATTCGTCTCCCCTACCCAAGCCCCAGCTGAGGGTGGATGTTCCTCGAGCGGGGACTGGCTCTTGTACCTTATAAACAACCATCCCTTGTCTGCCTTAGGAAGGGAAAAAATCGCTTTGTCTGCCTTGGGGATGAGCAGCAATCAGACCTACTTTCAGAGACTCTCACCAATCATCAACATACCTGCTGAATGCATAGATTACACCCTTGTGGAGGAGTGTCTGCTATCGCACGACCTAGCCGAAGGAGTAACCCACAAACAACCTCTTACTTTTTTGTTCTGGGATACATGTATCACCTACGGACGACAACTGCAACAAACCAACCAAGCAACGAAAGAAAGAGTACCTCCAAAAACGCGGTACATCGGAGTGTGTGTGACATCATGTGCTCCCACTCTGCTGCCCGACCACCCTGTACAAAATGGGCCGGTGCTCCAGCGTCTCTCCCCCTGGCTACACTAGTGCTGGAGGCATCTCACGCAAGCGACTACGCATACCCTCAAGAACAAAAGCTGCACGCCCACGCACGCCAATTCAAACCAGAGATAGAGGCCCCCGAAGACGCAACAACGGACCTAAAATATATGAAAAAAGAAATTAAAACAAGCGACGACGTCCATCCTTCTTCGCACATCCCTCGAGGCAGGAGGCTCATGCTCCGCGGTCTGCGGACACAAAGGCGGTGGCGGCTGGCTCTCTTGTGATTTTTCTCTCTTGTCGGCCGTTTTTCGTGCTCACGAATAGCAACCAACATTTACACAAAAAACAACCCTCACGCATGTTTTAACTTACCACTTCTCAAAACGACGACACACGGAGAGCCTGCATCAAAAACAACACCCCCGGCTGCAACCAACAACAGCGAGCAGCCCCTCACGACAACATATAAATTCGATGACGACGATGATGATGATGATTGGAAGTGTGACATGAAAAACACAGAGCAGCTCGTCGTGGCGCACAGAAGACGACGGTGCCCAAGAAACAACGACGTCGCCCTCTAGACTACATGTGCCTTCATCCGCCAGCACCCTAGCCAACGCTAGGGCAGCACGGCAAAAAACTTCCCTTTGCAGACATACAGACAGAATTCCTGTGCCCCCCCCCCCCCCCCCCCCCCCCCCCCCCCCCCCCCCCCCCCCCCC